CGAGCTCTAATAACACGAGCTCTAATAACACGAGCTCTAATAACGCGAGCTCTAACAGGAGGTCAGCGGGCCGACCGTGTGCAGGAGGCGTTTGGGACAACAAGAGCCACGTGAAAGCAACAGTGTTCTCAGCAAGTGTGGAAGAGACATTTTAAAGAGTATAGAGTGAAGGTTTGGTAATCGTGGACTGTTCTTCTGGGGAACGTCTGGACGAGAGGAACGCTCTCAGGTTTCTGTGCTTTCTAAAACATGGAGTCCAGGAACACAGAGCAACGGCTGCGATCTGATGATTGAAGTTATGAAACCTTTGTTCATTCTGCCGTGTTGAATAGTGAACTTCAGGGAAACTTGGTGACTTCGGACAGGCTTACTACTTCCTGTTGGGATTCTCCGCGGCCGGGAGAAGAGAATTGACCTGGCCAGACAATTATGGTTTCCCTTTTCCCCAAATTCAGTTGTAGTTACTCAACTTGCTGGTTTAAAGATCGGTGAAGTGTTTTAATTTGATTGAGCTGCATGCTTCTTAAATGCTTAAATAAATATCTTGCCTGGATTTAAAGACAAAACTGTGGAAACTGGCTTTTGAATTCTTCATGTGCAGCACGGTGGTTAGCACTGCTGCCGCACAGCACGAAGGTCCAGAGCTCATTTCCACCATCAGGCCGGGTCTTTCTGTGTGGAGTTTGCATGTTCTCCCCGTGTCTCTCAGCTCTGTGAGTGTGTGGGGATTCAGTCTGCGCTGGCCTCGTCTGATCCTGATCCTGCTTCCCCAGAAAATAATATTCTGTTTATTATGTTGGCAGTTTTTTCTCTATAAGTTAAATTTGGGAGCCTTTTAAAGTTTCTGAATCGTTTCCATCACGATGTTATTATAACGTAATTATTTATTGATGTCATGTTCTTTTCTCTGGCTGCTAGCAGCACAATAACCTGCAATCTCCTTTATTTCTCTCTAATTAACACGAGTAACAGTCTGGCTCACCTTTCCATGCATGAGGAGGCGCAGTGTGAGCGTGACTCCCATGGCGCCGTCTCCAAACTCCTGTTCACAGCTCATGGTAGAGGAGGTGGTGGTGTGGTGGGTGAAGGTGTGGGTGGACTCTGCTGCTGGGAGACGCATGAAGGTCTGAGGCCCCGAGGCGTATGGAGCTCTACAGAACACCACAGAGAACCCTTTGGAGAACCCAGAAAGGAACCCTCAGAGAGCCCTGGAGCTGCGAGAGGGGGAAGGGGAGGTCGAGGTTTGGGGTCGGACGGAGGGGCTGTACGGGCGGAGCTGGCGTCGGGGTGGGATCTATCCTTACTCCGGTTTCTGTGGAAAGAAAGACAAGAAAGTGATGTTTGAGTTTGTTTCTACTTCACATCCCCTCAAAGTTAATGTCTGTATTTAGACCCGATGAGCCTAAAACCAGCATGTTGGGATCAGTCTGCTTTTTTGTAAGCCTCTCATAATCAGTATTTGCTGAGAACAGCCTTTATTGACTTTTTATTATTCTCTCACTCTGATGACTGTATCCAGAGCGTCTTACTAAACAGAGCGCAACAGGAAACGAGTCATTTCAGCGCGTAAGAGCTGCTGTAATGGGTGTTGATAGATATGAGTCAGCAGCTACAGATGCAGAAATTCAGAGAAAAACACACAACAACAAAGGGAGCCCACGACCATGCAGCACTGTGTTAAACAGGATTTCCTCGAGAGGCTTCAAACTGAACTTCTTTGTCATTTCAGGCACACTTTTAACCCCAAATCCTGTTTTTAAAGCAATTTCCACAGATGTAGGAAAACCCTAAAATAGAGTGATAAATTGGGGCGTTTCTCTTCTCCGTGCTTAGTTTGACTCAGGTGCTGGACGCTCCACGTCACCTTCTTTGGTCCCCACAACAGATTATCCATCTGATCCTCCTCTATGACCAACCCTCTGCACGCCCTGCTGATGTCCACATCTACTCCTGACACAGCACAGGATCACCTGAGTTAGTGCACAGCAATACTATAGCAATGCAACATCCATATTTTATTACATAAATTAAAACACTGTGAACTATAAGGCTCCATCCTGAGATACCCGTCCAACGCTGCACACACTCACTTTACTAAACTACTGCTTTACTCAGATGGCTCAGTCACATGGGTAAGAACAGGACAGACCTCCCTGCATCGACAAAAAGTTCTTTCACATTCTGCAGCTTGTCACGACTCGAGGGTGTTGCACACTCATGACTTTTCACTGCAAGGCGACTGCACAGGTTCTTCTTTCTTCTTTGATGGACTGACTACAGTCACTCTCAGACAGACTGTCGAACATTCGTGAACAACTGCCGTCTAATTTATAAATGCAGACAGATTTCCTCATATCAAGAGTCAGTCAATGAGCAACACTCGAGGGTACCAGCTCAGCTGGCAGGTTCTGGTTATATTCCTACAGAACAGAAGGGTCGCTGAGACCAAACAGAATATTTAAATGTGAATTTCTGTCTTTCCTTTTGCATTAAAAGAATCTGAAGTGAGACAATTCTGTCAACATCTGTTTCATCCAATAATCTCAATTTTAACTTTGACATAATTTGCAGATAAACAGTCAACATTTACCACCTTAAAACGTCCTCTTATTGACCTCGTTATGCTAACCGGTACGTTTACAGAATAATTTAACTATTTATGTTAGTAAAGGTTGCTGTAAAAATAAAAGTAGGTTGCAGTATTAAAAGTAAAGGTCAGAGTGTGAGGGCAGCGACTTTAAATCTTCCAACAAACGCTGTCGGAGCACAGCGCCGAGTCTGGCCCTGCAGCCACGAGGCCAACAAGGCGTTTCACTGATTCCACATCCTCAGCAGCACGGCGGGAGCGAGCCGGCTCCGGTGCCGTGCGAAGTGTGGAAATTAACATAATTTCTCAAGTGTCAGAAGCTGGTCAACAAGTCTGTGCTGTAATTTAAAAATTAATTGGGAACTCTGTTTAAAAAAAGCTTCGGGGGCTGAATTAAATAAGCTTCTGGCCGTGGAAGCGCCACTCAAGCGTGATGATACTTAAGCGTTTCCTTTTAACACAAAACTGAAGGAAAACAGAGAAAGAGAGACCTCCTCCACGCCTGCATTCGCCTCGTTGTATACAGATACACAACTATGCGTGCTGCACACATGACTGCATGTACACGCTGCACTTTGATCATTTTTGAGTAAACATGTATGTTTTTTTAGCAGATTTTGTATGTGTCTGGAGAGCTCACACACACACACTCAGGCATCTGTCACTATGCCAACCAGCACTGTAGGTAACCCGAGGTATGCAGACGAATAAAAAGGTGCGTATAAATGATTGGCATACGTTTGTGTGCGTGTGCTGATGGCTGGTTGTGCAGTTGAAAGTGTTTCTATGCAAACAGCGAGCCTCACGTCTCCATCTGCACGTCTGCATCCCCCACTCTCATAAAAAATACACACTCTGAGCCAAAGTAGGTCACAAATGTAATGCAGGCTGTTTGGCATGCAAAGCAAGCAGCATCTCATGACAATGCAACACTCATCCACACACACACGCACACTTGAGAAACAAATCAGAGGACAGAGGTGCTGAGAGAGAAAACAGAGTTAAAATAGTAGCGAGTGGCAGAAGCAGGTGGGGGGAGGGGAGAAATGGCAGGAGACGGCTTACACGACCTCCCGGGGAGCGAGAAGAGTGGCTGTCAAAACATCGTTTACACATGAATTCAGTCATTGGCGGCACAGGTCGAGTGTTTGCTTATCTGCGCATCCATTAAAACCTCTGTGTGGAAATTGTGCGTATTGTTGTGCAGCGTCGCGGATAGGCCGGGCACGCGTGTGGACTGGAGTGTGCAGCTGCATGAGTGCATGCATTTGAGAGGGCGGATCTAGTGTTTTATTTTCCTCTGAACAGTGTGTGTGTGTGTGTGTGTGTGTGTGTGTGTGTGTGTGTGAGAGAGAGAGAGAGAGGAAGAAGACAGAACATATGAATTATTAAAGTTCTTTCAGATGCTTCAGTACCGGGTTAAAACCAGGCCTACCCATCCCCCTCCGAGTCATGTCTGCCCCCCCCCCACACACACACACACACACACACTCGGGGGAATAAGCCATGAATCAGCCATGCATGAGCTCAGAACTGAGAGAGTGTGTGTATGATTTTACTTGTTTTGCTGACATTGTGGGGACGATGGTCACACAGTAACCTTTTAGGGACTCATCTCTGAGTTTAACCGGATGTCCAGGAGGAAAATTGTTCATATTTATTTTCTGTGGCAGAGTATATGCTGTACTTTATCTCCATGAAACTACAGGACACCGAATACACGGATTTCCTTAAATATAGTGCTGGGTGATACTGTGTAGATGCATTCATTAGGGATGTTACACAGCACAAGGATGTTACGCCTTCATACGGTTTAAAAAATAAGTGTCAGTTTAATTCCTTCTCTGCTTTTCTATTTGTATTTTTATTTATTGATGATCCATTCATTGGCACCAGCCTGGACTGCAGCAGCTGCCAGAAACAAGCACCGACACACAAACAGATTCTCCAAGCTGCAAACAGGAAGGAGCAAGCAGCAAAGTAGTGACCAGCATCCATGGAATGAACTCCTGTGAGCAAAATATCTGCTAGCAAAGTGAGTGAGCATGTACCAGTTTAAACTACTGTCAATGAAACTGCTGACTGGTGTGAGAAGAATAGCAAATAAATACATGCAGGCATAACTACGACAAAACATCAACTTTGTTTGTGGCAGTGACTTTAAACTCTGCGCACAAGAGCTTGTTGGTTTGGGTTTCCACCAAATGTTGTTACATCATTATTATAAATATATAATCAATAAAGACGTAACGACAACGTCAATGCAGCAGTAACATCTAAAAACAGCATATTTGAGTAAAAAACATATTTTGGTCCTTTAAGTTGATTCATTTGATAACGTGTCTTTTACCTGTAACCCTGTAAATGCAGGACTGTCACATTTACAGTGAGCTACTGCTTCTTTTACTTAAACGGTCCTGTTATCTCCATTTTCAGCATCACAAGAGGACCTCTGCCTCACTGCCAACATCATCTTAGCTTAGGATCCTTAGCTTCCTGTCTGACAGACGCCAAGTGGTCAGACTGGGCAGCATCACCTCATCCCCCGTCACACTGAACACTGGTGCTCCACAGGGGTGTGTACTGAGCCCTCTCCTGTACTCACTCTCACCTACGACTGCACTAACAGCTCCAACATCATTGTGAAGTTTGCGGACGACACTACAGTGGTGGGTCTTATCACCAACGGTGATGAGACGGCTTACAGGGAGGAGGTCAGCGCCCTGACCCACTGGTGTCAAGACAACCATCTCACCCTCAACGTCGCAAAGACAAAGGAGTTGATAGTGGACTTCCGGAGGTGCAGAGAAGTACACACCCCCATCACCATCAACGGCGCTGCTGTGGAGAGAGTGAGCAGCTTCCGGTTCCTTGGAGTACATCTGGCTGAGGATCTTACGTGGTCAGTGCACACAAACAAAACAGTGAAGAAGGCGCAGCAGCGCCTCTTCTTTCTCAGGAGACTGAAAAGATTCGGCATGAGCCCCCGCATCCTCAGGACCTTCTATCACTGTGCCATTGAGAGCATCCTCACTGGATGCATCACCACCTGGTACGGCAACAGCACCGCTTACAACTGCAAAGCTCTCCAGCGAGTAGTGCGGTGCTCTGAACGGATAATTGGAGGTGAGCTTCCCTCCCTCCAAGACATCTACAGGAAGCGCTGCCTGAGGAAAGCGGGGAGGATCATCAAGGACTCCAGTCACCCCAGCCATAAACTGTTCAGACTGCTTCCATCAGGAAGGAGGTTCTGCAGCATCCGGTCCCGTACCAGCAGACTGAGAGACAGCTTCTTCCACCAGGCCATCAGACTGCTGAACACTTCATAGACACCTCAGCTTCACTACTGGAACTTTAACATTATGCACTCCATACTGTACAGTAATGCCACTGTTTTGCACATATTCAACTCTGTATATTTTATTTTATTTATTTTATTTATTGTTTACTCTATTTAATTTGTAAAATATGTGTACACACACACACACACACACACACACACACACACACGTAGAAAAATATTTAGTATACACATCCAGAAATGCATATACTATTATATATTGTACATATATTTATTAGTTTCAGATGTAGCCATTCTTGTATTTTGCACATTTCTGTTGCTTGTGAAGCTCGCACACAAGAATTTCACTCACATGTGCTGTACCAATGTACCTGCACATGTGATGTGACAATAAAAGTGATTTGATTTGATCTTTTAACTCACC